GGAGAGCACGGTGGAGACGCTTGCAAATGACTTAAAATTTGGGGCACGGAGAGAGAGTGAAAAGAATAAAATGATTGGAATCTGAAACCGTTCTATAGGAAGTCAGTTTTTTACGTGGACAGATCTGGTTCTGTCTGGGTGTTCTCTGGCTTGCTTTCAGAAACGAGGGAGAGTTACTGAAAAAGCTTCAGTTGTGTTTAATCATAAAGGCTGATGTTATTCAAGGAGACCGGAAGATGGCAAGGTTCACCATTAAAATTCTTAAATAGCTGTTTCTCAATTCTCAGTAAAAACACATACCTCACTTTTAAATCTTTCTCCTTAAAATTGTCCTCTAAACCTTAGTGTTTTACCATTCATCTATACTAGATACTAGACTGCATAGATACTGATACAGCGTATGTCAGGCCTTCCCCTTGGGAATGGTTAGGCTGTCTTGAGTCCTTGACCAGGCCTTGACAGGGATGAGAAACAAAGGTGTGAGGACAGAGTAGGGGTGGGATAAGAGCTGCAAGTGAGCCTATGAAAAACCCTTACAAACGTTCCTTAAGCCGATTGAAGTGGAATTGCACACTGAACAGATTAATCACCTTTTATACATCTTAAGGGAGTATAAATAGTGAACAAATAGCTTCTATTTATTATCTCTTCCTGGAAACTTCAGAATCCCACTCCTATCCATCCTCAAAAGCATTTCAGTGAAATACTTATAAATCCTTGTAAATTCTGTATCTCTTGCCCCCATCAAAATATTTGGTGCCTTTCAAATTTTCTGATTTCCACTTTGGTTCCTGAGGCAGAGAGTAAATTGGGTACTTGAAAAAGAAACTTTAACCTAGACAGCACAGATAGATAACTGTTTCACCAGCCCCCTTCCCAACACAGGGGCTTGGTTATCTAGTCTTAGCTTTGCCTGTGCCAACCTCATGCTGGAATACATGAGGCCAGCCTTTTTTATGTCTCAGCTCCTTCAGACCTGCAAAAAAAGCGGAGTGCTATGCCAAGGCCAAGGCCAAGATTTGTTTACTCATGCATAACTTCCTTTTAGCTTCCCAGAACTTGAATTTTGTTCTGCCTTCTGCTTTATCTACATTTTCTATTCCCAATCTCCCGTTCTCCCTCTCTAATTATCCCCAGTGGGAGTAATTTAATTCTGCAACAGATTCTCATGGTTACAGAGAAAAATTCCAGAAGTATATCCCTTTATACTAGAATTCTACATAAGGAGGAAGCCCTGGTTGAGGGAAAGAGTATTCTACATTTGGTTATTTTCGTTTAATATTACTGAGGAGTTCATTGGAATCCCAGCAGCTGTCTTTTTCCTTTTGGAAAGACTTTGTGCCCATTCTCTGTAAATGCCATGTGAGAGAGACACTTGAGCATTCTCCTCGCTCGTTCCCCGCCCCCCCCCATCCTTTCTCTAGATCAGAAATTTGCAGGGTGAGAGGGGAGATCAGAACTCTCTCTCAACTATGTCCTCTTGAACAGGGGTCAGCAAACTACAAGGCCCACAGCCAAATCCAGCCCACTGCCTATTTTTGTAAATAAAGTTTTATTGGAACACAGCCCTGCTTATTCATTTAGGTGTTAACTATGGCTGCATTCACACTACAATGGCAGAGTTGAGTAGCTGTGACAGAAACCGTATGGCCTGCAAAGCTAAAAATACTATCTGGCCTATTACACAAAAAATATGCCGAACGCTGTGCTACAGGAATATGATACCTCAGGCTCTTC